TGCGGCTGGTGCCTGACTGGCCCGCTGAACACCACGCGCCGGGCCTTCTCTGGGCCTGTGACTGATGCTTGCCCACCGAGTCACCGGGAGAGGGTCGCCCTCTGAAACACTTCATCCAGAGTCTGTGCTGATTGAAAAAAAACATTAACATCTACCTGGGTCTCTGGGTAAATTTGGGGGGTTTTGGTGTGTTTTTCGTTCATGTGAATCACTTAGCAAATGGTAAATCCCTTCACTCCATTCAAAACAACTTCAGTTCCAGAGACGCCGTCACGCGGGGAACTCTGAGATCCTGAAGCCCCGCACGCAGCGTTGGGATGGCTGCCTTTGCTGTGACCACTCATCACACGTTTCTTACACAAACGGCCGTCTGATGAGTTGCCAGACTTAAACCATTTGGGTTTTCAGTGATGCTTTTGGACGTGGGGCAAGTTTCTGTCAAGGGGATCTGCTCCAAATGCTGTTCCCTCCATTCGCCTGCTGCGGAGGCGTCCCTGCACTGTGGGTGCCCCCAGCACCGCTGGCCCTGGCTGGTGTCTGCCGCCCCACCAGACGGCGAGCATGGAGGTGACCCGTTTCCACACAGTCAAGTTCCTGTGACACTACCCTTGAGCCCAGGGTGAGAGAACAGAGAAGGCGTGCCAACAGTGGGGTCTCTCTCGCTGTCCTGGCGGGGTCCCGGGCTCCACACTGCCCCTGGCCGAGGCCGGTTTAGGGGGTCCTCCTCTGTCTCTCTCGATGCTAGCACCTTGGAGTGGGTGAGGCTACCTGGTGTCTAGGAAGGAGAAAGACAAGTGGGGAAAGAAGAAGTATGTGCTGGTTGCCCTGAAGAGTTCTCTCTCGTTGGGCAGACAGATGTGCCCTCCCATTGCAGGCGAGGTCGATCTTCGTGTTTGCATTTTGGGAGGAGTGAGCTGTGGGGGCCTGGAAGGTGATCACCACCATCAGCGAGGTCCCAGACCAAAGATTTAGGGACACATCGGCTCAGCGGTGGTTGTCACCACAGAATGCCACCTACGGGGACTTAAACCAAAGACATCGACTTCTCACAGTTGTGGAGACTGGAAGTCCAACATCAAGGTATCGGCAGGGTTGGTTTTTCCAGAGGCCTCTCTCCGCCTTCTCTGTGTGGCTTCACATGGCCTTTCCTCTCCAAGAATGAATGCTCTGGTGTCTTTTCCTCTTCGTATAGGGACACCAGTCCTGGCCAACCAGGGCCCATCTTTATGACCTCATTTAACTTTGAACACTCCCCTAAGGCTGCATCTCCAAATGCAGTCATGTTGGGAGTCGGGGCTTCAACGTACAGATGACAGGGGACACCATTCAGTCCCTAGCACGCGGGAATTTGTATTTTCAGTCTGTCGCCACCACAGCACAGAGCTCTTTACTTTTCTAAGTATCTTTACAACATGCCACCATCTCAGCACAGGCCCCCAAGCCAGCATGCTTGGGCAAACTGAAATCAGGTGTCTTTCCGGTTGGTCTCAGGAGAGGCAGAACTGGGCAAGAGCTAAATTCTCTAACCCACTAGTCTGGCATCTTGAAGACCCCAGGGGCCTTACTGACAGACACTGAGCCCAGGGTGAGAAGAGGTATTGGAAGGGTTGCTGGTTTCTCTATTCTAATGTTATAGTGAAGTGCAGTTGACAATATTTGTTGTTTTGAATAAGTCATCTGTCACCAGATAGAAATTCAGAGGGAGGGAGTCTCTCTCCTTAAAAACCCCCTCACTTCTCTCCCGTTTCCTTCGTCCAGAGATAATCCATACCCGTAAAAACCCTGGGCACGTAGGTTTCCTCTGTGCTCACACCCCTTGCCACACCTGCTGCTTTCCCTTAGCTTATCTCCAGCCATCCGCTTTCATTAGCACGACTGACTTCACACCTTAGCACGGCTGCGTCGTGTTCCACTGTGAAGGTGACCCATGCTGATTTCACCAGGTCCCTGCTGCGCCCACATCTTTGTACCACACAAACCTAGGAATGCGATTGCTGTGCCCGCGTGCCTTTTAGATGTTGGTGCATGAGTTTAGATACTCAGTGGCAAGGTTGTCTCACTTCGGCCGACGCTGTGCTCTAACATTCCTTCTGATCTTTGTTAGTCTGACGGGCACATGTGGCCTCTCCTGGTTTGGGTTGGTCTAATGGCAGTTCTGATGCCAGGAGGACAACGTGGAGGCCATCTGTTCCAGCCTAGGGGGAGTGTGTCTTTGACGGTGCAGGTGTCTGTGTGGCTGCAGTCACACACACACACACACACGCACGCACACACGCACACATGCATACACACACACTGGGCTTGGTTTATCTCCAGGAAGGCGAATCTGTCCCCTGTTGGAGCAGTGGGCTGGCCCATTCCGGAAGAACTGGGGGCTTGAAAGAGGACCTCCAGGGGCGTCATTTGTGCCATTGTGTCCGGCCGTCAGCAGAGGCTCTGCACTGGTGTGTGTGTGTGTGTGTGTGTGTGTGTGCGCACATGTGTTGAGGGGATGCTCGCAGTGTCTACTCCCAGAAGGACATGTAAACCGTGTGTGCATTTGCAGTGGGGAGTTCCTTCCCAGACCTGTCACAGAGTCAGAGTGGGGCTGCAGCCCTAGCTGGTTTTGCCCAGTGGATAGAGCGTCAGCTTACAGACTGAAGGATCCTGGGTTCAGTTACGGTCAAGGGCACATGCCCGGGTTCCAGGCTCAATCCCCAGTAGGGGGCATGCAGGAGGCAGCCGATCAATGATTCTCTCTCATCATTGATGTTTCTATCTCTCTCTGAAATCAATAAAAACATATTTTTTAAAAAAAGAGTGGAGCTGCAGAGAGCACCATGAGGCCCAGTAGAGAAGTGGCTCCTCCTTCAAAGTGAGGAAAGCAGGGCATCGGGCCGCAGCCTCTGGAGTGTGAACAGGAGCGCGGAGATTTATGGAGGCTCACAGCGCGCGGATGGTGCAGAGCGCTGTGCTGCCTGCCTGGAAATGGGAGAGGCCACCGGGAGCCATAATTTCTGATCCTGATGTTCCCGAAGTGGAGTTCGGACACAAAATATGGAGGAAACAGCTCCTTGTTGTCCCCAGGTGCCTCTTCAATCAGAAGCTGTTAACATGTGCACTTTGGACTTCCCTGATGGGGAAGTTCTTCCACTTTTCTTATTCATTCATTTGAGTCACATTGACCGAGCCCTACTCTGTATTAGGAATGGAGGCAAGTCTCTACTGAAACATCCACCGATGTGCCTGCTCACGCCCCACCGCTTTTTACAAAAGAGAGTAGAATCTGCTTGAAGAGGCAGACTGTCGTATTCATTTCCGCACTTTTTCAATGATTGTTCAATGGCCGATACAGAGTAGGACTTCAAAGCCATTTGCACTGGAGCCTCCATCAGGCACACGTTCAGTTAACTCCCCGGGTTGAGAATTTACCTGCATCATAGGACACAGCTCCATTTAGTTTCATCCTCTGGATGAACGCTAAGCCTGTGCCTGTGTTATAGGATGTGAGCCGTGACAGGGACAGGAGTGAGTCTTCCTGGTGAGCAGGACACTGGTATTCTCGTCCCTGCATCTCCATTCCCCATCACTCCTGTTACTTCTTCTTAGGTTTGGCCAGTCCTCTGCCAAGAACGGCTCAAATGCCCCGACCTCAGCTTGTAGACTTTCCTCTGGGCCCGTTCTTTGCCTGTCCCTGTGGGTCTCCACCTTCAGCGTGCTAGACCTAGAATCAAGGATGTATACACCAAACCACTGTGCTCTGCAAGGAAAATAAAAAGGGTTGTCAGGGGACACTTTGACTGCATAACTGTGACTTAACTTGCTGACTTTAGAATCTCACATGTAAGATGTGACTCCATGGAAGTGAATCAAAAGAGGAAGGAAAGAAATCATTCTTTTCCTATCCTTGTGGGTCATTTGTTTCCAATATGTGGTAAGTTAAATTCATATAAACCTCTGCCTACAGCACATGGCTCTGGGGGCTAGAGTTGCACATTGGTGTGTGTAGCTGAGGCATGGTAGGAATGGTCAGGACTGGAGTCACAGAATAGAGTAGCTTTTGAATTTAGTCTTGACAGGGATCAGGAGGAATGGGCCAGAACAAAAAGGGGATGGGAGAGTTGTACTAATAAAATGGTTCTAATGTTATAGTAATAAAAACAGCTATTGTTTACTGTGTATTCATTATGCACCAATTTATACATTTACTTATTTAATCCACAAACAAACCTTTGAGGTAAAGCCCATTATACTATTACTAGAGGCCCGGTGCATGACATTTGTGCATGGGTAGGGTCCCTAGGCCTGGCCAGTGATCAGGGCTGATCGGGGTCTTCCAGCTGTGGGCCGGGGCCTTCCTTCTCCGGCTGCCAGCTGCTGGTGGAGGCCTTCCTTCATTCTGGCCGCCCGCTTCATTCCGTGCCACCCCTTGGTGGTCAGCACAGGTCATAGTGAGTGGTCAAACTCCCGGTTGTTCGAACTCCCGAAGGGACAATTTGTATATTAGCCTTTTATTATATAGGATATACATGAGGAAACTGAGTGTAAGCAGCTCCAGAGCTTGTGATGTTAACCAATTTCTAGAAGCAAGGATGGACTAAGTTGTGAGAATTTAAAGAGAACTGCAATAATGGTAGCTCTGATTTTAAAAACACACATTTTTTTTAAAGGCTATTGATATGTAGGACTGATAACCTTTCTTTCAGAAAGGGCATTTGTCTAGCAGATGAACTAGCTTTCAGTAACAAACCAAAGCAGTCTGTCAGCAATGGGAGCGGACAATGGGGGATGGACAAAGACAAAAATGGGGGATGCTGCCAAGAAAGTAATTTATTTGAGTAAAAAGTCACATTTTCCCATCGCCAAAAAAGATACCATCATTGTCTTTTGACTCAAGCATTTAGTTTATATATGTATTTTTGGATTTAGCTGTTTATTATGAGTTATAAGTATCATTTTAAAAACACTGATCCATTAAATCATGTAGAAATAAGTATGCAAAAATTTTGCAAAATAAAACATACTTTAAACATGTTTAAGTATAGAGATTATCTGCAATTCCAGATTTTCAGTCACTTCATTATGCGATGGCAGCCAAGTAATCCTTAACTTCAGTTGGAGTAAGCCTCCTAAGTCCAGCTTCACTGCAGATTCCAACTTCTATGTTATCTTCTGTCATCTGCCCTTCAAAGCCTTCCTTCAGGGTTAATATGGCTGTATGAATGGCATCTTCAAGTTCTAGATCTTCATTATATCTTTTCTCAAGAAAAGTTTTTCCATTCACGTATTTCTTTCCCATCACTGTGGCTTTCCAGGCAAAGTAAGCTCCCGATGGATCTGACTGAAATAAATATTGTCGCCCCTCATTCCAACCACAAATTAGTAAAGAAACTCCAAATGGACGAACACCGCCTGATTGGGTATATGCTTGCATCACAGAAGCTACTCTCTGTACCAGCTGAGCTGTGGGAATGGGTTCTTGGTAAACAAGGTAATATTGCTGAGCTAGTTTTCGGGCTCTGTGCACAAGCGCTCTGTAACCTGGGTCCATGCCACTATCTACCAAGCCTGTATGTTTGGTAATTGGCTCCACTTTGTGTACACTTCGCTCATCATACAGAATGGATTTCTGTTTCTTCTCTGTTGCTAATACCACACCATTTGCAGCTTTAATTCCCACTAAAGGGGCTCCTCCAGCTACAGCAACCAAAGCATATTCAATCTGAACAAGTTTACCAGATGGGCTGAAAGTAGTCAATGAAAAGCAGTAACTGCGCTCTGCCATCTTCACCCGGAGAGCTAGTTTATATTTAACGTGATGACTGACATATTAGTGATTTCATCTAACATTCCCATCTATCTAGTTACTGTGTGCTTTCTATTCATCTTACCCATTGCATGTTGCCTTTTCTCTTCTTTCTTGACTTTATAAATGGTTGTTTTTATGATTTCACAGCTCCCTTTATTAGCTTCATAGTTATAAATAACTGTGTTGTTTTTTAGATTGCCATAGAAATTAAAACATGTATCCATGACTTGTTAAACTTCAATAAAAACTAGTATTTCTAAAAAAGACATACAACCCAATTTTTTGAATGGGCAAAAGGTTTGAATATGCACCTCATGGAAAATCTCCAGATGGCCAATAAACATATGAAAAGGAGTTCAGTGTCACCAGTCATTAGGGAAATGCAAATGTAACCACAATAAATAGCGATACACACTCACCAGAATAACTATCATTTTAATCTGGAAAATTTCATTTGATTTATCTTTCAGTTTACTAATTCTCTCTTTGATTAGGTCTAATTTACTAAGTTCTAAATTCCAGTTATTGCATTTCTGAGTTCTAGAACTTCTCTATGACTCACTTTTTGTTATTGTTGTTGTTGTTGTTGTTTGTTAATCCTCACCCGGGGGATATTTTTTCCATTGATTTTTTTTCAGAGAGAGTGGAAGGGAGGGGAAGAGGCAGAGAGAAAGAAACGTCGATGTGAAAGAGCCACATCAATTGACTGTCTCCTGAATGTGCCCCGATCAGGGCCAGGATCAAGCCTGCAACTGAGATACATGCCCTTGGCCGGAATCAAACCCATAACCCTTCAGTCCACAGGCCAACACTCTAACCATTGAGCAACTGGCTAGGGCTCTATGACTCCTTATTATAGTTTCCACTGTGACAAACTTCTCAATCTTGACTTTTATTTCCTTGAGTATTTTAAGAAATTATTGAAATTATTGAATATTTTAAGAAATTGTTGAATTCTGATAACTTCACTACCATCTCCCATGGCTCTGTTTCTAGTGTCTGTTTCTTTTGTTTTGGGATTATGTTGCCCCATCTCCTTATATTCCGTGCTATTTTTCATTCTGTGCTGGATATTTTACATGAAAAATGAAATTAGAGAATTTGAATCTTAGGACAATGTTATCTTCCTCCACAAGAGGATTTATGTGAATTTCTGGGGGATAAGGAATGCCATTATCACCGCAGGCTAATCAGGGATTCATTATTTTGAAGCGAGGCTTCAGTATCTGCAAGAGATGGTCAATTTTCAGTCTTCCTTTACCCTTAAAGTGCAGTCCTTCAGAGTCTCAATCTAAGCCCTTGGTGATTTTTAGATCCTTCTCCTCGTCTGTGGCTTACACTTTGAGTCTGTTGAATTACCTGCTCAAGTGTCTCTGCCTCTTCGGCATGGCAGGTAGCAGATGAATTAAATGGAGAGGAAACTTCAAGTCAACCTTCCCTCCTTAGACGTCCTTTCTCACCTGAATCTGGACCCTACAATTCTTCACTGCTGTTAACTTGCCATCAAACTTTTAAAAAAATTTTTTGCACTTTGTCCAAGTTTTCAAGTAGGTGGGCCAGTCCAAATGATCTACTCCACCAAGACCAGAAGTCTCTAGGACAGCATGCTGACCCAGGAGAGCTACCGACTTAGAAAGCAGATAGTGCCTGTGAGCTACAGTGATTCCTCGGGAGCTTAAATGTGGAAAAATCAGATTCTAATGGGTATTTGCCCCCTGTCTTCAAAAACGCTTGGTCCTGCTTAACAATGCAACAAGGTGATGGGTGAGCCAGAGAGCTTGTCTTGTGGGAGGCTGATGACCCCATCAGAAATACTAGGGGGCATCGCTCATAGAAAGTAGGAAGGTGGCTCAGTGACTATGGAACACAATGCCTCCACAATTCCAACGCCATGCCTCCCAGTGAGTCTAATCGTAGCTGTAATCTCCTATGGCTCACCTATAGGGCTCCTGGGCCTCACTGATGGACTGCTTCCCTCTGCCTCATTGGCTCTCCTCAAACAGGTGTTTCCCACTCACATGATGGCATGAAGTAGCTGCCCTCAGCACCCTGAGAAAGTAATGAAAACCCAGCAGCTAGAACCAAAGCAATAATTCAGATATTTTAGCCATAAACTTCCTTTTTGCTTCTGTTAAAACATATTTGGGGAAAATCTGATATGTAATTGTCAAGTCGCTGTATTTCCTCACGTAGTCCTCAGAGCTGTCCAAGGCCAGTATTATCATCATCCCCATTCCACTGGCCTGGAGACTGAGGTTCAGAGAGAGGAGCCAACTTGCTGACTTTTCTCAGTTTGCAAGAGCTAGTTAGCTTCATTTATTGTGTAAGCTACGTGAGGGCTGGCAGGTACTTTGTCTGTTTGTCCATGTCTATGTTTGTCTGCTGTATCATAATCAATGCTTGTTGAATGAATGAATGAATTAGTTAGTTAGTTAATGAAATGGCACAGCTGGAACTTGAAACCAGCTCTTTTCATTCCAAATCGGTGTGTTTCTCACTACCATGGTGACCCATACCACAAACAAGGAATAGTTGGCGACTCCTTCTGAGGCACTTTTATGAGGAAGTGAGGGATGTAATTAGCCCCTTAATGTGGACATAAATTCCCTGTGGCTCCAGTTAAGATGCATATTCTGATCAGCCGGTCTGGATGGGGCCTGAGGTTCTGCACTACCAACCAGCTGGCAGGGCTGTCCATGCTGCTGGCTCGTGGACCATGCTGTGAATATCATGGGGCAAGGTCATCAGTGATGAGGGAACCCAGGGGTTAGGCATCTTACATGGGAGATGTAAGTCGAGAAGAGGTGATGAAGAACTTTGACCTGAGGGCTTGAGTCCAAGTCCTGCCTCTGCCCTTCGTGTAGAAGGTGGACCATTGATTACTGCCCTGAGCCACAGTTGTGTTTATACAGCCTTATTTAAATGTCATTTACATACTATATCATTCACCTATTTAAAGTATACAATGCAATCGTTTTTAGTATATTCGCAGAGTTGTGCAACCATCACCACAATTAATTTTAGAACTTTTCATTACTTGGAAAGGAAACCCATTAACAGTCATTCCCCCATATCTCCCTCCCTCCAGACCCTGCAACCATGAATCCACTTTTTGTCTCTAAGGATTTGCCCTTTTGGGACATTTCATATAAAAGAAATCACACAACATGTGGCCTTCTGTGACAGGCTTATTTCCCTTAGCACAATGTTTTCAAGGCTCATTCCTTTTCTTTTTTTTTTTTTTTTTTTTTTTTTTTTTAAATATATTTTATTGATTTTTTACAGAGAGGAAGGGAGAGAGATAGAGAGTTAGAAACATGGATGAGAGAGAAACATCGATCAGCTGCCTCCTGCACATCCCCCACTGGGGATGTGCCCACAACCCAAGTACATGCCCTTGACCGGAATCGAACCTGGGACCCTTCAGTCCGCAGGCCGACGCTCCATCCACTGAGCCAAACCGGTTTTGGCTCATTCCTTTTCTTTACCAAGGTTTTATTTCTACAAATCACAGCTGATGAACACCAGTACCTTCACACACGCAGACCATGCTCCAACTCAGGCGTGGGGCACCAGTCTGTGAGGAGAGCTGCTTTTAGGAATGGGGGTGGCAGGACAGGTAGAAACCTGCAAAGTGCAAAGTACTGGGTGGAGAGGGGTCAGGGCCCGGGGGCCTCAGCCAGAGCAGCCCAGCAGCCGCACTGTGTGCATTTAATCATCCGGCCCACTTCCAGCTTGCTTTTGGGGGACTGGCAAATGCAGCTTGTCCCCACATTGGTGTCCCATGTCTGAGTGCATGCAAGCAGCGTAAGTTCTCATGCCCCTGCCTTTTCCATTTTGAGACCAGGTTTTTGTCTGCCTAGCCTTCTTTAATACAATACAGGGTAGGGCACAAGTAGGTTTGCAGTATGGAAAAATAATACAATAATTAATAAATAATGATATAAGGGTAAACTCTGTTTCACACACTCACAACTGTAAATCTACTTTTGCCCACCCTGTATTCATATGGTTCTCTGCTTATGGCTTTCTGCTTGTAGAACAGGCAAAAAATCACCAGGTTTTCAAGTGGTGGATCCTGAAGATGGGCCCCAGAGATTCACTTTCTTCCGCTCATGAGGTTGTGTTTCAGCTTCTGTCATCTTTTGATCTAATTCATGCAGCATTGGCTTGGTCAACTCCCAGCCCACTGGGGGAGCTTTTTAGCTTCTTTTGACTTTAGGCATTTTTCTCCTTCGCCAGGGTAGGGAAGTTTTCACCATTATTTATTCAAATAGGTTTTCTGTCCCTTTCTCTCTTCTCCTGCTGGGACCCCTATGATACGAATGTTAGTATGCTTGATATTGTCCCAGAGGTCCCTTACGCTATCCTCATTTTTAAAATTTTTTCTTCTTTTTGATCTTCAATTGGGTGATTTCCACTATCCTCTCTTCCTGGTTGCTGGTCCATTCTTCTGCATCATCTGACCTGCTGTTGATTCCCTCCAGTATATTTTTCATTTAAGTTGTTATATTCTTCATTTCTGACCAGTCCTTTTTGTAATTTCAGTCTCTTTGTTGAAGTCCTCACTGAGTTTATCCACTTGTCTGCAGAGTTTGATAAGCATCTTTATAACTATGACTTTGAACTCTTTATCTAGAAGACCGCTTACCTCCATTTCATTTAGTTCTTTTTCTGGGATTTTGTCTTGTTTCTTTGTTTGAACATAGTCTTTTGTCTCTTAATTTTGCCTCTTTGTTTCTAGGTATTAGGTGGGTCAACTACATCTCCTGGTCTTGAAAAAGTGGCCTTATTTAGAAGGTGTCCTGTGTGGCCCAGTTGTGGAATCCCCTTTGTCATCAGAGCCAGGTGTTCCCTGGACTTGTGTGGCCTCCTATTGTGGACACACTGGCAGGCAAGGATGGTCCCTGGCCCAATGGCTGTGAGGCCTGGCCATAACTGCGGTGGGCTCATTGGTGCGCAGGGCAGGCCTGTGGTGTCGCTGG